CAGTTTTCTCATGCATGGGACAAGAAAGAGTCTGAAAAGAGTCATAAAAGTGGTTTAACAAATATTCTAAAGCTTGTCGTGCATGTAAACTAAATTTCTTTATTTTTTTATAAAAGTAGTCAATCATAGCAAAGGATGTGCAAACATAACCCAAAAGTGATGGTGAAGGAATAGTGAGACCACCCCTAGAAATAATTGTTAAATAAGTTTGATCAGGATTGCTTTCATCAATATTGACACAACATAAAAATTCTTTACAACATGTACCAAAACGTTTTTTAAGTTTCTTTGCTATATAACCAGCAATATAAGCACCTACTTCCCTACTTTCTGGTGCAAGTGTCATGATTTCTGGAGTACGCTGAGCTTTATCAATATCAAGAAGAAAGTTTTTCCAATCTGTTAAATTATTTTCTGACTCAGGCACTTTTAAACTATCATCGAAGTTAATACTTTCTTTAACTATACTTTTGATTTTTATTATTTTTTCAGAAATAGTGACATCTTTTAAACCTACCAAAAATCTTCCACCGCTCATTTGTCTATATTGTCCAAATCTCCTTTCTAATGGGTCTAAATCTTGCAGTTAAAACAAAGTGATATCCATCATTAAGCAAGTCCTCGATCAATGAGGCATGACTATTAAGTGTTCTTATTAGTGCTGCAGCTGTCTGAACACTTAAAGTAAACTTCTCACAGTTTGGTATCTTTTGTGATTGCCAAACTTCAATCCAATGTGCCATTTCCCGAAGAAATTCAGGTTTTTTATCACCAGAAACGACTGCATTACCTAAAATATTACATGCTGAATACTGACATTTAGAATTTGATAAAACCCACTACTTGTTAAATAATGTAAGAAAATCTGCACTACTTTTAAGATCTGGAAAATATGAGTGAATCGCTGCTGATGTAGTTTCATCAAAAATTGCAAGTGCTAAAGAAACATTTTGTTTAAAATTGCCAGGATGTAACACTTTCATTGTTATTTTTGGTGCTTTACGCAAACCAGCATCAAGAGTGAGGTCTTTTTCATAAATATTGTGGTAGGTATTCCATTTAATTTCTCCCCCACATACAATTATAGGATCTTTAAATCCATTAAAGTTAAAATCTGGAAATAAAAATCTTTTGCAATTTAACAAATTATTTCTGATGTTTTTAATAAGATGTACAACATCAAAACAGAGGTAAATTTTTTTTAAGAAACATTAGCAGAATGGTTGTCACACACAATAACTCTAACATTAAATTCACATTCAGTTAAAATACGAAGACATTCAAAAATTTCTTCTTTTAACCATTCAGCATTGATTGTTTTTTCAGGAGACGTTTTGATCACATATGGAATGTTTTGTTTCAGGCCAACAATCATAAAACAAACTATTCCCTTATACATTTCTCCAGACTCATCACTACCAATCATCTCTCCAGCAAAATACTCCTCACATTTTTGCAAGTACATTTCATAAAAAATCAAGCAAATGTCTTGAGATATCTTACCTTCTAATTTTAAACGTTTTGCACAACTTAGAGCATCAATATTTCCACTAGTTATTTTTTTAAGTAATGATAATGATGGTAAAGGCAATTCTTCACGCAAAAGTTGGTATGACTGCATAGAAGTATATCGTAATATCAGTGAATACCTTATAATATTGGCTGAATAAATAGGTTTTTTCATATATTTAATTTGCTGTAATTCAGTCAATACAGATGAAAATTGTTTGGCTTGTGATTTAATGTAGGTAGGAAAATTATGAAGCATACTTTTACAAGATAAACGACAATCTCTTCCTTGACAAAACCACTGAGGTAATGGCAGAGGTGAACCTCTGTAAAATAATTTAACATGCATCTCATTGTTTACACGAATGCACTCTGTAACCTCTGGAATAGATAAAGTACTATGACTCAATTTATAAAAAATTACATGATCATCATACTTCAAGAATGAAAAACCATCTGGAGCAAAACTTTCAGTAATATCGTTAAAGCTATTAATCAAATCATTCAATAAAAACTGTTCATATTGATCTGGCTGAAATATTCTTTTAGTTGGTGATTTCCTTAATGAATTAGAAGATTTTATAAGTTGTAATGAACCTTCTTCAGTCAAATTTGTGCAGTCAAAAATAGTTGGAATAGGCTTTAAATTTTTTATTAATCTAAAACGTTGATTCTTATTACCTATCTTATAATATTTTTTTTCAAAATGTTTGATGCATATAACGGAAGAATTAGTAGGTGTCCAATCTTTTCTATTTACAAATTTAATCCAATATTTTTTTAGCTCTTCATTTTTTGGAAACGAAAATACTACTGTAGATACTTCACCATAATTATGATAATTTGAACGACAATTTACGACGCAACATTTGTTAACCATCTTTTTGAACTTCCAAAGCTGCTTTCTTAAAAACACTTTTCCAGAAAACTGGCCTTCTATTTTTTTCTTCAAAATGTAAAATATCCGGCCGTATAAATAAAGTAGGCCATGTTACAAGATAATTTGCAAATAAGTGGTATATTGGATTTCAATTGATCGAATGCACACATTAGTCACCGTAGACCACAAGCCATTACTCTTAGCCAAAAGAGCTACTGCCCTGGTGTGGAATGGTGAATGGCCATGAAGTGAGATTTCAGATCCGAGCACATAGTCAGCAAGCGCTGATCCAACGTGTATTGTGAAGCTTCCAACTAAACGTGTGCGTGAGTGTTAGCGTAGTCATTAGGTCATTGATTGTCGTAACCACATCCAGCGGGATAGCATAATGTCTGCTTCGTTGTTGTGATGTCGGTTGGTCACTTGTTATGATCTTTGTGTCGCATTAACAAAAAAATCTACAGTTTTAGTAGGAATGAAACTATCCTCATTAACTAGTTTTTTGTACAGCATCTATGTTTCTTTTCGATCAATCAAGAATCCTTCACTAAATCTCTCAATGTCTGTCCATACAGTAGTTTTTGTTTTGCAAAGTATACAATCTGCTGATGATTTTAAATTTGAACAACTGTTTAAATTTGAAATCGTTCATTGTATCTTGAATATAAATTTTGACATATAGATATTTTTTGCTAAAGTGAAAACACATTTCTTTCGCATTTAATTCTTCTTGTGTTATTATCAGTAGTAAGTACAACAAGATCTAGCAAATCTTAATTAGTTTCTGTAAAAATACAGGGTGTAACAATCTTGATGCATTCAAATCCAATATACCACTCATAAAGATTGATACTAAGTTAAGATGTTTTGTGGTTAGTACGAAAGTAGTTAGTCGAAAATATGATAAAAACTTGGCAAATTTTTTTGTAAATGATGGTGTATCATCAAAAATGTTAATTAAAATGACAATTGTTAAACAAATTTAATTAAAATGACATTACTAAACAAATCTTTAAATTAATAAAAAACAAAAAAACATACCTTTGTTTCTGGACTAATTTGAGCATCAGTAAAGAGATATTGCCACCCTTTAATACCCATATGAACAACTGCCATTCGAAGATACTGCTGAAATGTTGATGCCAGATAGTGCCATCTCAATGAACGATCTAGAAACCAAATTCCAAATGATTCTGCACAGCACATTCTACAGCAAGTGGCTAAAGAGTAATAGTTTAAAAAAATTTAAAATAAAAAAGTGAAAAATTTAATTTTCATAAAGAATTTTAGAAATGACATAAAGAAAAGAGCTTACAAACATTTTTATAAACCAAACAAACTTTTCCTTCACAAGAAGATATTTCAAAACATTTATCTTTAAAAGTAACTTTTCGAGGAACTAATAACAAAAATGATAAAAGTAATAAAGCAATAAAACCAATAAAAAATTAAATTTAAAGTTGGTTGTTATCTTATATATACATTGAGCAACTTTATAACTTCATCGGTTAACCTTTATAAGTTTAAATTCATAAAACCTTTTCACAAAAAGTTTTAACTTCTAACAAATAAGAAGATATAAATATTAAACAACATTAAATATATTTGGGGAATGTCCTAATTGCAATATTTACTATTTGACATTAAATTAACTATATAATAATTTAAAATTGCTATGAATAAATTAGCAATATAGAGCTAAACAACAAGTTCTATTAAATTATATAAATAATTATATAATTATCTCAAATCAATCAAATTTTTTTGAAATATTTACTAACTATTTGACTGGCCCCTAACTTGACATTTTAAAATCAATAATACTGCTTATTAAACAGTGGTAATAACTAAGTGAAGAAAAAAAGTGTTAAGAAAAAAAAGATCGATGATCAAAGATAAATAATGACTGGTTGCATCATGTTTTCAAATTTGTCAGCAATAAAAAAACTTGAACTGATTTAACCTAATCATCCAAAAACAGAAGTCAAAATCAAATATATATATTTTTTTTATAAAAAAAATAATGAAAAAAAAAGGAAAGAAAAACAACAAATATTTTTACACTCTGCTTAAACTGAAAATAAAATACATACTTTTTAGGTAATAAAGATTACATTAAATGTTTATAACTAAATAAAGATCAAATATTTGATGAATATGATTGATCAATTAATTGATAAACCTGTGATTATACTTTCCCATATGACATATTTAATTTATGGTACATTTCAAATTATTTACAATTGGTAACAAGTTTTAATTTTTTTAATTATGACAAAAAAAATTTATAAAGTATATAAGGAGGAGAGATAATATTTCTGTATATTATAAAAATGTTACACTTCTGTTGTGCAAATTATACTAACTGTGAGTAGCAAAGTAGTTTTTGTAACAAAATAAAAAAAAAAAAGATTTTACACTTTTTAAATTTTTATAACTTAAATTATAGCTTAAAAATAACGGACATTTGATACCAAACCGTATCGAATAATGCTACGTCTCAATAGATAAGATTGTTATAATGTTTATTGATTAATAAATAGTATAAAAGGAAAACTAACCTTACACTGGAAACTAACCATACATATTGAACTGTCAGAAAGCAGTGTCAATAATTTTTGATTATTAGTTATTTTATAAATTGCAGCATGTATACTAGACACACCTGTATACTAGAGTCAGCAAAATCACAGTTTGAAATTTCAATAAATAATAAGATAATACTTTAATAATACAATTATGTAATGCTAATAAAAAATAATGCGGAAGATATTACTGCTGTAAAAACTCCAGCAGAAACTATTTTGGATTCAAACCGTGAAAATGAAATTCGAAAATGAGCAAGATTTATGGGCACATTGCATTGCATCTTTAAGAGTAGAATTAACTCATATCATTGCAAAAATTTATGTTTGCATTGACTTTATATCTTATTTTTATTTTGTTATATAAATTTTTAATTTGTATTATATCAATGTTGTATGCTATTACATCATTTATTTTTGGTAATATTTTATGCATTTGGTAATATTTTTTGAGTTCCTTAAAAAAATATTACCAAAAGCCTAAAACATCATCAAAAAAACTGGAAATCAATATTTTATGACAAACGGTGTTATATTATTTAACATATTTTCTTAAACAGTTAATCTAAAATAATGCAAGTCTTAAATTAATACTAAATAAAATATTTAACAAGGTAGAAGCTAATAACACTTCACTTTTGCTGTTACATTCATCTTCATCCTCATCTAAATCTTCTAGCTGAAAGCTACCAGTAGATTTGAAGGAGTTGCTAAGAGATAACTCACTTAAACAATTGATTTCATTTATTTTTAGATCCCCAACTGGAATTATTGTGCCTGGATGAAATGAAAAATATCAAATCAAAATAAAAGCTCAATATATAAAAACAAAAAACTTAAACAACTTAAATTATACAAGACAACATCAACAAATATGATTTTAGTATAACAGTTTAAAATTATCAGATAAAATAACTTAAGGGTCAGTTTATTATATTTTAAAGAATTTAAAATACAATTATAAAAAAACCTATTTAAAGAAAACTTTGTGGGACACCATCTCTGATTTTTCTGATTTTTATGTATTATTATATACATTATATAGATAGACTAAATTTGAAATTTTAGACTTCTAAGTACAACTACAAATTAGAAATTATAGCCTTTTAAATGCAACAGAGTGGCCCTCTCGATTTATAAATGGTAAAAATAGACTACTTTTTGAATTACCAACGGGTAATAATCTAAACAATTATCAACTGTTTTGGAAAAATGATGTATTATGGAAACCAGTACCCTCGAACCTGCCTACTGGCCCATGCAAAGGGTACAGCCAATTATAAGTCATTATTTAAAAAAATATGTATATATTGTTGTTAACCGCCTCCTTAATCTGATCTTTATAGTGGATAGGGACACAAATAAAAGGGTAGTAACTATTTAGAGACCTTTTTTATTGTTTAAATATGATACTTAAAACATAATTTACATAATTAAAGAGTATTATATTATAAGTCAAAAACGATTTTTTTAATTTCAGCATTATTTTGGAAGGTATTGATATCTTCCAAAATAGTTGAATAATTTTTAAAAAGACTTCCATAATATATAAGGGGTATTAGAGAATTCTATAATAAAAATATATAGAGATTCTTAAATAAAAAATTAAAAACATATTACAAACAGCTTTTATTATTAGGTTTGGTTTTTATCTTTTAATTAATAATTGATTGATAATTAAAAAAAAATTAATATTATATATTTATTTATTTTTCTTTTTTTAATAAAATAGAAGTAAAACACTCTTGTTTTTTTTTATATCTCAGGCCTATGTATTTTGGCAATAATGTCACTTACTGGATACCAATGGATATCAGGTGTATTTGGATACTTGTAGTAATTGCCAGCTTTTTGTAAGCAGCTGATACAAACAGAATTACATCTAAGAATAGTTCATTTTTCCAGGAAAAAACTTACCAAAATAATGCACTAATTCCCAATCAGCAATTTAAAGATTATCGATGTCAATATTGAGCAACTTTTGTATAAGCAAGTATCTTTGAGCATGTCAAAAATGTTAAATTTACTGCTCATTTGCATTTAAACAGCATGATTGAGGTGAGAAATAACGATATGCGCAAGTTTTTTTAGTAGCAGGAACATTCATATTTAGTACTTCAGTATTAGCAACTTTTCTGGTTTCAGATGCATATATATATATATATATATATATATACATATATATATATATATATATATATATGTATATATAAAATTAATCAGATAAATTTAGAGACAATTTAAAAAAATGTATTTAATAAGATCTTGTTTTAGCAAATCATTTTTTTATACAAATTTCAATTAAAAATTTTACTTTTTTATTCGAATAATAATATAAGCCATTTTAAGTCCATTATGATAAAAAAATTCATTATGATAAAAAAAAGTCTAACAATCATAAACTGAGACAACAAAATGCAAGTTTATACACCTTATGTTTTTACAAATGCATTTGTAAAAACATAAGGTATATAACCTTATGTTTTTACAAATTTCTTAAGCAAACTAAAAATATCATTTTTTGTCAAAATCTTTAAAGTCTGATTGGAAATCGGCCTTTGAAGGAAAAGTTCATTAATAATTTTAATAATAAACTAATAATAACCTGTACCATCTACTTCATCGAATTCACTGTTTTTATGTGCTATGCCAAAATCTGCTTGTAATTTGTAGCCTTTTTATGAAAACAAAGGTTAAATTAAATTAAAGCTAAATAAAAAAAAAAGAAAAAAGATATCTATTCAAACTGATTTTTTTTTTTATCAAATTTGAAAAACATAATTTTAAGAGCCAAGTATATGGTTAAAATTGCTTAATTAGAATTTTTAAAATATTGTAGACTAAAATATTAACTTTTTTTTACTAATTGCCTGCACCATCAATTAAGTAATAGATCTTCTGAACTCAATGATATTCTTCTTTCAGAATTGGTATAATTTTTAAAACATAACTAAAGACCACCTCAGTATAGTGAAGCAGATTCTCAGATATAATACAATAAAATTAACTTTCTAGGGATAGGTTTTCATTTTAAGTCTTCAAATATACGATGTGAGTCGAGGTCTTTTATATATGATTTTAGGACTTCACATAAATGATGTGAGGTTTTACCTATCCCAAGGTCTTATATTCCTTTACTGTCCACAATTGCAATTTGGCAACCAAAAACTTTTAGTAAGAACTGGTAAAAGAAAAAACAGATTTTTTCTATTTTTTGAAGTTTTGTATCATGTTTGGTCTTAGTTGTTTTGAAAAATAGTATTTAACCAATCAAAAAGTAGGGCCCTTAATAAGATTAATATTTGGTACATTTAGTTAATGTTGTAGTTTTTTTTATTTTAGTTAACCCTTTACTGAACACCAAAATAAATTCGCCATAAATTTTTTTTTTTTGGCAAAAATGAGTTAATATAAATTTTAAAATAATTTCAAAAAAAAAATAAAATAATAATAATAAAAAAATAATAATAATTATGATGTTATCAATCTAAAATAAATTTGGTTGCCATTTGGCATACATTGACAGTTAGTGAAAATATTAAATATTAAACATTAAATAGAGCGCAGTATATGAAATAGAGAGCAAAACAACTAATTAGATATATTTAAAGAAGTGAAATTTATGTGTGCAGTAATCCACATAGGCTATATGCTACCCACTCAATAGTCAGATGTATGATTATTGGGTACTTTATTCACTTTATTTGTTATGAAACTCCCGAAAACAGTTTTTTTTTATTCAAACAAAGACCACATTTAACACAATACACTCTACTATAGCCAATTTTGCAACTACAACACTTATTTTTCTTTAAATGGAAATCAGGCCAGAGTGACAAACAATAAAATCTTTCATCATTACTAGGTAGAGGAAATGGAATTTTACGTTTAGGAGCTCTAAGCATTTTTGGACGACCTACACTGTTTTCTACATAGTTTTTCTACTGGCTTTTCTTTTTTTTACATAGTTTTTTCACTGGGTTCTTAGGATTATCTTATCTGATTCCGCTAAACTTAGTTTTGCCTGGAATTATTTGCTCATCTATCGAATGATTAGTTTCAGGTGGTAATTTTAAACAATTATTACAAACATGATTGAGAACTAGCTTAATTTTGTAAAGTCAATTTCCTTTATTTTCACCAATACCAGCTAATGGATTGTCACTAACATGCAAAAACCACCTTATTTTTTAATATCTATTCAACGACATATCTGAAATGGGTGAATAACAAGTTTCAGCTGCCCAATACATTGAATAAACTGGTAATGAAACTATATTAATCAGATTTAAAAGCCTAAAAACTACTCTACCTCAGTAAATTTATATATATATATATATATATATATATATATATATATATATATATATATATATATATATATATATATATATATACATATATATATATATATATATATATATATATATATATATATATATATATATATATATATATATGTATATATATATATATATATATATATATATATATATATGCACACACACATATATATATATATAAATGTATATATATAAATATATATATATATATACACATACATACATATATGTATATATCACAAACAGCACACTTTGTTGGGGCAACCGTTGCCCGGCAACGCTAAAATAGCTTTGTTTCAGTGATTTCAATGTTTTTTTAAATGTTGGTCCTACAAAGTATGCTGCTTGAGATATATGGCTTTTTTTCATATTTTGATTACTACCATTTGAAAGCCTAAAGACTACTCTACATCAAATTTGATCAAGTTTTTATGACCTGTTTTTAAAATACTTTATAAATTTGTTTGTGTTATAATTAGTTCCATAAGAGTGTCATCCCAAAAAATATTAAAATAGTCTATTGGAGTCATTAAGTCAACATTATCAGGTGGAAGTGGCAAAGACTCACCCAAGAATTAGCTGTTTGTTGTGTGCAGTTTGCAGTTATTCCACAAAAAAACATATTTATTTGTTTTCTTTTTTTGCGAAGAAACTAGTTAATCTGTAGAATTTTTAAAATTTTTTTCTATATTATCATTTTCTGACAAGCCTGAAACTTTATCATCATGTAAAACACATCGAATGAAAACTGAAAACTGTCCCAAAAAAACTCATAATTGATGATGTATACAAACAAAGACTGTGTGCCAGAATTTTTAGCAAATATACAATGTTATAGCCTTAAAAGGGCATTAACAAAGGTTAATTAAATTAACAAAGGTTAATAAAATTAACAAAGGTTGGTTAAATAAACGATGATTTCAATTTGAGATTAATTTAGATATTAAGTACTAAATTAATTTAGAGACCTTAATTTGAACCATAATAAAGGTCTCTAAATAGTGACTGACCCTTTATTTGTACCCCTATCCACTATAAAGACCAGATTAAAGAGTGTACAGAAGACCAAATCTTTCTTTTTGTTAAGAAATGACTTATATTTGGTAACAACTCTCACACTTTTTAGGCATATGGACAAAATGCTTTTAGATATATTTGACTTCTAAACTGCAACAAGCTGCTTATATTTTGCCCATTTATTGAAGATAATAGTAGCTAATCAGAAAATACTAGTTAACATTTTTTAGCAATTTGTCATTTTTTAGCAATTTTCAGATATTTTCCAAAGTTGAGGTTATAATTTTTCTCTAATATAATACGAGTTAATAAAGCCACTTTTTATTATATATATATATATATATATATATATATATATATATATATATATATATATATATATATATATATATATATATATATATATATATATATATATATATATATATACATATATGCATTATGAAAATCTTTGGAGTACATATATGTTTATAACATTGTAATAAAATATGTAAATCCATTTTTTATTACTTATAGTTTAATTACAAATTTTATTTTTAAACAACCTAATATTGACTTGTTTTGTCAAAATAAAATAAAAAATTATAGAATTTAGCACACCGCATTGTTTGGCACTCCAATTTATTACTAGCCCGTTCATTGTTCTATAAAACTGTTTCAAATCCTTCGGTAATGCAACATTTTTTGCCTATAAATATTGATTACTAATTATGCTTTTGTAGTAAAAAAATATAAAATAAAAAAAAAAGATAACTATTAGATTTACTATTATTGCTTTTATTACTTTAAATATTTTATAACTCACATTCTCCCATGCACTTAATAGTGCCTCATCAGCAGGCTCTTTTTCTACAACTTGAACTATTTCTACATTTGAGTTATTTTCTAAAACAAGATTAAATAGACTTAAAAAAATCCTCAAACATTAAAAAATATATATATTCTATAACAAATTAATACCTAACATTGGTATCAGATCTAATGTTATACCAGCCAAAGTATTACTAAAATTTAAACTTAAATTCATTCTTAAAAACCAAGATTAAATTAAAAAACTAAAAATTTCTTTGATTTTTGTTCAAGTAATATAATACTTGGCAGTCGCCAAAGGAGGAGCTTTTTTTTGTTTTTTTTTGAAATATAAGTCGGCAAAAATTTTTTCAGGCCTTACTCGGCAAGAAACATATAGGTCAATCCCCCTTTAAGATCACTTCGGAACGGCCCTGCCCAGTAAAGCAGGGTTCTAGTAAGGAAGAACTTCTTAAAGTCCAAAAAGCCATGAAGTTTGAGTTGAATTTCTTTGCCCACGTTGATGACGAACAATTTGTTCGAATGTAAGACCAAAACGTGAAACACTACCGTAAGCAATTTCTTTTGCAAGCCGTTCATTTTCAACAACTTCATATTGCAGAGCTAAGTTACTTAAGTTTGAAGTAAATAAACTATCAGTTAAAATAATAACTCGACTTCGGTCAGAGAAAATTATTTCATATTCAAGTTGATCTGAAAATGATTAAGGGTGAAAAGGTCCTCGACTGATAAACAGTTCAAAATTAAGAGGCGTGCAATATTTTGAACCGGTAGGGGCTGGGCCTCTCAAAAGAGTTAAATTGCTTGCTGTCAGCTTGTTCATCAATACCTTGCATTAATCTGTCTGGAAGAGCTTGTACTGATGAGGGTAAGAACAAATCTCGAACATTCCTATAATCACCATAGTCAAAAGTACTTTGAACTTTCTGACCTTACATTCTTATTGTATGTTTATTCATAATGCTTCTATTAAGATTTGCTACAAGATCTGTGAGACCTTAGTGAGAACAACATTGTAAAGCAAACGGACTGACCCTGGCACTACTATCATGGACGGTGACAAAGTTGGAATTGATGAATTTGCCAGTGTTGCTGGATTTAAAGTTATGATAATGATTTGTCTTTCACTTCAGACACCATACACTGTAGTAAGGTTACGGGGAGGGTCTAACAAAGTACCATAACTTAATTGAAGAGATGAACTCGTTTTTGTTATATCTAGAGGTGAGATCACTGTCTAATATATTGTTGTGATGGCAGAAGCTATTGACCCAGGCGAAATTAATCCATTGATTCCTGATGGAACTGCTGAAACATCACTTATTGATATTGATCAAAGCGAAGTTTTACCAGAAGTAGAAATAAAACCTCCTGAAATAATTTGTGTTATAGTATCACCATTAGGTGATGTTTTTTCTAGCTCAGCAACAAAAACCAATTTCTTTTTGCTTATCTTTTTTAGTTTTAATTTATATCAGTTCTTCAATTTTTGGCAACATTTCATTTATTTAAACAAGTGCGTCCGATTCGAGTCTGTGGCCTTGTGGTAGTTTAGCTATATAATCTGCAAACTGGCTAGTTTGTTTCCTTACTTCAAAATCTAGTAATCTATGGTTGTTTATTTATTTGTTTAACATTTATGTGTTTCTTTACAGCTGATTAGTAATCATTAAACGTAATTACTTTATCGCGAAGTAATTCTTTAAGGTCGGCAAGAGCTTGCGCTTTCACAGAGTCCATGATTTCTATTATATATAGTTCATCCATTGTCTAATGAAAAAATTTAAAAGGATAAGAAATACCTATTTTTAAATCTCCATTCTCTCTCATAAACTTTTCTAGCCTTGTTCACTTCTTCACTTTTTGCTAATTTTACAATATCCTCTGGTGATATACCAGATATATAATTGTCTTAAATCATTGGGTAATTAGTATAACATTATGTATCGTTATCGTGTCGTCATCGTGTGTTTAGAATGATTGTTAATGTAATAGTTCAGAATTACATTTGTCATTATCATAACTAGCTCTGGTATTATTTGAAATTCTTCACGTTTTACTTGATGAATATCATTTAAGGTTTTTTCTTTTAAATTTTCAGCAAATTTTAAGCTCATAAAATAACCCATTTGGTCCATATTTGTTTTTTATTTTGTAAGGAATATATTCTATAGCAGCTTCTAAACCAACAATTAATGCGAAACGTCTACGAAGTTTATACTTATCTCTTCTATTAAGATTTTTTACATAAAATTAAAATATTTTCTATCAGGGTCTGCAATTTTTTTAAAATCATCTCCTTTTACGCAATTTCAAATCCATTTTTATTTTAGTATATTTATTCTACTATAACATATGTATGTTTTTTCTCTAATTAAAAATTTTGTCAATATTTTTTTTTCATTCAAAGTCAGAAAATAAATAATAAAATAGAAAATAAATTTTTTCTACAATAATTTCTTTCTTATAAAGTGGGAATGAAATTCCCATAGAGCTTATACAAACACTACCAAAATTCACGATTACTTTATTTTCTCAATAAAGTTTCCAATATTTGATTTGAAATTTTTTCTCCATTCACTTTTGCTAGTTTATATCTTGGGTTACCTTGTACTAAGTAAAGTTCTTTTTTTTCATAAAGTTTAGTTTTATTCATGCTGAGTAAATTCCTTGTTAATGCATTTCCCTTATTCTCTTTAACCATGTTAACAATTTTAGGATTAGGAACAACAGTTACAACTTTTAATAAAAGGTTGTGATCTGATGGAAAACATTTACGATTTATTCTGCCATTTGTGTAGTAATAAGTAAATCACCCGCTTTCTTAGGACGAGCAATATCTTTTACGTGATTATTTTTTCTTATCGTTTCTAAATACTCTTCACCGCGTTTAAAACGTTGCTTTATTTTACAAATAAACGCGTCATTCAAAAGAGAAATAGCTGTATAATAATTACTCCTTATATCATTATTATTTTTTCGAATTAAAATCATTGGTCACTTTTTTTAGAGACCGATGATTTTACATGTCATTTATACAAATAACGCGTCCTATACGAGTCTCATCAAACATTGAAATTAAATCTTCTGAAACACATAAAGGGCTTATTTACGTAACACCTACCCAAAAGATGTTAATATTACCTTTTTTAGCATAATTCCGTTTAAATTTTAAGGCTGGAGTCCACCAGTCCTCATCACTAATCCTCTGTATAATTACTTTTCAGTTTAGATAAATAGCTGACATAGCCAAAATAACTCAAACCTTGTAATGAATATTACAAAAGATAGTATCCTAATTAGTCGGTAACCTATTAGACTTTATTCAAACGAGATGCTGCCATATCACTTTGTTGAAGATTCGTTCCGATGTCTTTTTAGCTCTTTCCGTAACTAAATGAACTAGTCACGAAACATCATATATATATATATATATATATATATATATATATATATATATATATATATATATATATATATATATATATATATATATATATATATATATATATATATATATATATATATATATATATATATATATATATATATATATATATATATATATATATATATACACACACACACACTGTTGTTTACTTAAAATTAGTATTTATTACTAAATAAATACCAATCTTAAGTAAATGCTTTAAAAAAATAATATTTTAATATAGCTAATTAATGAAAGAGTAATAGTGTTAATCATAAAACAGTATTAAAAACAATAGTAACAATTATAATATTTTAAATAAAGAAAAATATACATATAAATATACCCCTTCCTGATTTAAATTGGTTTTTCAAAGCTTTCATAAATGTTGGTTTTTAACCAATATTAATGAAAGTTATGAGAAAAATTTCAACCCATCGCTTGTCATGTTTAACAGACTGGAGTTCAAAGAAAAAAACTTTTCCTTTAAAATATAAATTAGTTCGCCAAACAACTCATTGTCATTAAATGTGAACTCTATTGATTTTATCAAAAAAGTTATCGTTTTTATAATTTCATTCAACTTTACAGTTAAGTAAAAACCATTAAAAAAATTTAACCTGATTAATTAAAGTGTGCACTTATCTATATACTCTAGACATACTGTAAAAAATGTCTACTTTTTTCAGAAATTGTTTTTTCAAATGACGATTACTTTCTTTGGTATCTTGCAAATGCTGTCTTATGAAAGGTAGAAACTTTTCTTCTTTTTTAAATTTTATCTGGTCTTTTAAATCAATTAATACCACGGCAATTCCAGTAGCAGTAATATCAACTTTCTCAATTTTTTTTTATCATTTTATAAAAAAAATTGGGTTGACTGTATACAAATAACATATTTTACCTATTTCGTTATCGAAAAAGTCAAACAAAAGTTTCGGAAAGTTTTCTAAACTTAAAAAGTATGATCTTAATGGCTGATATAACTTAAGAAATCTTTCGATTGCTGGAATTCAACGAACCTTTGAGAATCCTAGCACTAGAATCCTAGCACTAGAATCCTAGAAACCTAACCTTTAAAAATCCTTTTTGATATTGCACATCGGGATCCTCGCAGAAGTTTTCTAAACTAGAAACTCAAATTTAACTCGAACATTGAAACAGTGAAAAAAAAAAAAAAAAAAAAATTCAGGAATATCTCCGCATCAATTGATAAACAACCAGAAGCCGTATTTATTGCGTTTGATAAAATGTGAGCATATGCCTATAATTTTTCGGTTTAGCTTGACGATTAACTTTTTGTGAATATTGTTTCGTTTTAAACTTTCAAATTTCTTATTGGTAATGTCTGCGAAAATTGCCAAAACTTTTGAAAAAATATTGTTAGCGCTAATGCAGTTAAAGAAATTTACACAATCCACGCTTATCCGGTGAATTTGCATTTGAGGAACCCATCTTTGATCTGCGTTAAGAAAGGAAACATTTTCTTAAAATTATTATTAATGTGTTTAACCTTCTCTTCGTATTATTTATTCTATGAATTAGATGTATCTTATTACTTTTTTTATTAGCATTTTATAAAAATAAACAGTTATTTATTTATTTAACGAAGCGTTATTTATAATAATCAACAACAAAGCGAAAAAGTTTGCATAAAACGTGAGCATTTTTATTGTTGAATTTGAAAAATGTTCCGAAATATTTTTTTCCGTTCTCTAATGGGAACTGAAAAAACTGATTTACCTCTAGTTCATTTAATTTTATATGTTAAAGTTAAATTTGTTTGAATTAAATTCATTTATTTTATTAATTGTATTTAAATATATCATTTATTAAAATAACTTTATTTTAAAGAATTTTATTAGATAATTTTTTTTTATATACGCGTACACAAACGCGTACAAACCCCAAACGCGCATAATTACCCTCAAACGCTCAATGTACGCGTGAAACGCGTACGTCTGGTCACATTAATGTTGTAGTGTTGAATATTTTTCTTCTTTTAAATATTATTTTAGTTATATTTGTTATTATTATTCTATTATTATTAACATTAATACTATTATTAATTATATATATTAAAATTATTTTTAAAGATGTTTGGTTAAAGCAATAGTTTATATTATAAATAGTCTAATTTAGATTATTTAGAATCAATAGAGATTATTTAGAATAGAATAGAATAGAAATTATTTAGAATATAAATTAAAATAATAGAGATTATTTAGAATAGATTATACATGTATATATTTAGAATCTAGAGCAAATTGCTTTAGATCTAAAGCAATTTGCTCTAGATCTAAAGCAATTTGCTCTAGATTCTAAAGCAAATTGCTTTAGATAATTTATAATATAAATTGATCAAAATTTAAAGATGAGAGAGAAGAAGAAATTTGTTAAAGGAGTGACATCATCAATCAAAAGAATTTAATAATGATAATATTAAAAAGCACAATAACAATATATATTAGGACGATTTTTTATAGAAAGATATGTAAAATCGATAGTCAAAATTAAGTTTTTAAACAGACAAAATATAAATACACCATTGAAAATGAGTGACATCATCAAATTTTGTTGTTGTTGTTGTTGTTGTTGTTGTTGTTGTTGTTGTTGTTGTTGTTGTTGTTGTTGTTGTTGTTGTTATTGTTGTTATTTTTGTTGTTGTTGTCATTTTTGTTGTTTTTGTGGTTGTTGTTTTTGTTGTTGTTGTTTTTGTTGTTGTTGTTTTTGTTGTTGTTGTTTTTGTTGTTGTTGTTTTTGTTGTTGTTGTTTTTGTTGTTGTTTTTGTTGTTGTTTTTGTTGTTGTTGTTGTTGTTGTTGTTGTTATGGTTGTTTTGTCAAAAATAGTACCAGCCATAGTATAAAAAAAATACAGCTAAAACATGAAAAAAAAAATGTTTGGTTGAACTAGTTTAAATCCAGAAAAAGATAAAACGTAACTAAAAACATTTAAAAAAATTTACTTTTTCCAGTGTTAATTTTATAAATTGAACTTAAATTCATTTTATGTGAAAACAAAATTTTTTTATTAATTTAACTTTTGTTTTCTTTTAAAAATTCTAGTAGCTATTTTCTCTTAAAATTTCTTTTCTTTGTTATTGTTTTTTTTTTGGTTTTGTTTTTCCTTTTTTTTTTGCAATCTTTTAGCTATTTAAAATTTTTTTTTCTTCCATTTCTTTCTTTTTCTTTTTTTATCCATTCTTTCTCTGACTTTATTTTTTTTAAAGTTATTTTTTTTTAATTTTTTATACAATCTTCTGTTATAGAAAAATGTTCACTATTCTGAAAGCCACTCCAAATATCTAAAATGTGTGTTTGTGTGTGCATGCATGTTTGTTTGTTTTTGTGTATAAATATATTTAAAGGTATTTTGTTAAACAGTAGGTTTTATATTTTGTATAATTTTTTTATTGTTTAATACTATTTTAATAAAATTTTTTTAAGCATAATTTTTTGCTATGTAGAAACATAAAGATGGGTCAATCTTTGACATTTCATAAAAAAAACAAAGACTTTATTTACAACAAGGAGTTTAGGTTAAAATTTAGTAATTGTATTGGAGTAAACTGGAGAACTCTTGGACGTTGGTTAAATATTAATGACAGCTATTTAGATATGATAGACAATGATAATCCCAAAACTGCAGACAAAGCATATTCAATGTTAAAAACATGGATTCAAATGAATGTCAACCCTTCATTGGATGATTTAAAAACAGCTTTGAAAAAAATGGAGAGGTTTGATCTAATAAGAGAAATAGAGGAATTAACAAGTAACATTTTTTTCAAAAATTGATAACCAGGGATGTGGTTTCAAAAAAAGGCTCTGGATTTAAATCTCACAAAAAGATTACTTTTTCCTAGTTTTTGGTGTTCGGGAGCTCATATAATATATAAAACGCTTATGAACTACTATTGGTAGAAAAATAAGGACTTTTAGGTTAGAGGAAAAATCACTTTTTGAACCCGGAGTCCTTAGGTATAATGGTGGCAAGGACTCCAGGACTCTAGACTTAAAAACAATCTGTTTCAAGTCATGAAATTTCATAAATTTATATATATATATATATATATATATATATATATATATATATATATATATATATATATATATATATACAACATTGTACAACATTTCAACATTATACATATATATATATATATATATATATATATATATATATATATATATATCATATATATATATATATATATATATATATATATATATATATATATATATATCATATATATATATATATATATATATATATATATATATATATATATATATATATATATATATATATATATATATATATATATATATATATATATATATATATATATATATATATATATATATATATATATATATATATATATATATATATATATATATATATATATATATATATATATATATATATATATATATATATAGATCAAGTCAACCAACATGTTCTGAGCTTCTGGAAACCATAGGCCAGGAAAAAATAGAGATATAAAGCTGGAGTCATTTTAGGAAACCACATTCCTGTTAATAACTATAAGCTAGAATGTGATAGTAGTGTGGTGATAGTGTGGTTGCATTGTAAGCACGAGGTAAAGTTCAGTTCTACCAATAAAAAAGATTCTTTTATTAGAAGAGGTGCATGAATTAAAAAAAAAGTGTTTTGATTTATGTTATATAAGTCAAAGCTCTCCTATTGAGACAAATTTGTGTTAATGAGATTCTACACTAATTATTATTATTATTCTTTTTGTTATTTTTGTAATACTTTTAACGTTTAATGATTTAGTAATGATTTCATAATGATTTGATTATAGTATTTGTTGTAGACCCGATCAAGACTAATACAAGTAATAAATTTAGTAGTAAGGTTTTTATTATATTATCTAAAATATAAAGGAACAGAAAATACATAATATAAATATAATAACACAATGTTGTAATAACGCAGAAACACAATTTCACAGTATTCTTTTTTTTTATATTTCACTATTTTTATTTTTTAAACACTATTTAAACTAAGAATCAATAATATATATATGCATATATAATATATGCACGCATGTGTTTGTTTATGTGAATGCATGTATTATTATTTACATACATGTATATATATATATATATATATATATATATATATATATATATATATATATATATATATATATATATATATATATATACAGGGCCTATTCTAGCCCTAAAATTTGGGCGGCAGTTTCACCTTTTTCCGCTAATGTTTTGGTGAACTTTAGCAGATAATCAGTGTTTTTTTTTTGCGAAAAAAACATTTATACGTATAAATGTAAAAAAAGTTAAAAAGACGTTAAAAAAAAAAAAAGGTCCACAATATTTAATTTGGGCAGCGCTCAAATCGGCACCCAAATACAGTCAACGCTATTGAAAAAAGTCTAGAATAGCCCCTGATATATATATATATATATATATATATATATATATATATATATATATATAAGTATTGTAGGAATTGTGTTAATATTTCCAGTAAGAATGCTCAATACAACGTGTTTTAATTGTTAAAGCAAATAATATAGTGAAAACTAAATAATTATTATTTCAAATAATATAGTGAAAACTAAATAATTATCAAGATATATTTCAATTACATAACTAGAAGTTTTACACAATAGCGATCATCAGACGTAACAACAACAACAACAAAGTAACAAGAGAAATTATATACAAAAAATGCTATGGAGTGTCCGCTTTGATGACATTAAAGTTCTTTATTAGAAATTTATTTTCACAGCAGTACTTTGACGTAAGCTCGCTTCATTTATTAAGCGTGGTGATGTAATAATGTGGTATTTTTCTGTCAATCATAAATTACAAAATTTACTGCCAGGTTTAGTATAGGTTCTAAAGCTTTATTTTTGCATTCTCACACAAATTTCAAAAGTTCAGTGGAGTTGGCCTTACTTTCATAAAAGTTTTTATGTTTATACCATTTACCTTTAATTTAAATTTATGTAATAATTTAGTATTACTACCCAATGTAACAATACCCTTCTTCTTTTTGGTGAATTTTTAGGTTGAAAATATAAATAAGGTTTTTTTAAGGCATTTTCCATTGAGTGGGCATAAGGTGGTTTGTCAACAATTGCATATTTCATTGGTATTTTTATGAGAAATACATAGTATATTTTTGTTATGAGAAGTAATAAAACTCTTGATGTTTGGAAGGCAGCAAAAACTAACCTTTAATTTGTTCCAGTTCAAAAATTTAAGAAATTTGTGGCCTTTAGGAATATTTATCAGTTGTACTAAAGAAAGTCTTAAAAAAGTCTTTTGATGTTGAGTTATAAAAGGTGGTTTAAACCAGATGTTTCTTTTTCGAGATTTTTTATTATGTTTCTAAATATTTGGAATGAAATTAATCTTATCTTTGAATCCACAAGAACTATTATAAAATGTTGCGGCTCTATAAAAAGCTTCTTTGCATGAAGATTTGCAAAACTAAATATAAAATTTATTGCAAAATTAGCATCTGCTAAAGTTGCATCTCTTTATTGAGCTCGACACTTTCTTAATTTAACTTTTGTTTTCTTTTTAAAATTCTAGTAGCAATTTTCTCTTAAAATTTTTTTTCTTTGTTATTGTTTTTTTTGGTTTTGTTTGTCCTTTTTTTTTTGCAATTAACTTTTTTAGCTATTAATTTTGAGATTTATAGAGATAGTGATTTTATTTTCTATCTCTATAAATCTCAAATCCAGCCTTGTATGAAATACTGTTGCCATATCTGAGGCAGATCTTCTAATGATACCCTTTCTCTTCTAGAAAAAGTGCAAAAACGGATTGTAAACATACTTGGACCTGCTCTTGCAGCCAACCCTCAACCATTATCACATTTTCGTAATGTTGCTTCTTATTTCTTTTCTACAAATACTATAATGGGCACTGCTCTAAAGAGCTAGTGTCTCTTGTGCCTTCTACTAAAATTCAGTCTAGTGTTACTTGTCATTCAATTAAGTGTTATCCTTTTTCTGTTACTGTTCCTAAGTGCTCCAAAAACTCTTATTCGTCTAGTTTTTTTCCTTGAACATCAGTTCTTTGGAATTCGCTTCCTTCATCTTGCTTTCCTGATTTATATAATTTGCAATCTTTTAAGTTGTCTGTCAATCGTTATCTTGCTCTACAATCTTCATCTTTTCTCTTCCAGTAGCTTCCAACACTATTAGTGGTTGCTTGCAGCCTTGTTGGAAACAAAGATCATTTTTAGTATCAATTTACTGATGCTTTGTATATGATTGAAATTGATGTTAATATATAAAGGATTATCTCCTGGTTTTCTATAAAGTTTAAAAGAGATCTCAGAAAACTTAAATGTGGTTTCAAGAAAATTTATGATTTTGAAGTTTGGCCTGATAGTGATATTAAGATTAAAATCGTCTTTAAAAATTTTTGCTAGATTTTTCTATATTTTTTTCTGATTGAAGATCACTGATATTATAGAAGCAGCAAAGACCATCATCTCTATATAGATCATTAGTATTAAGGCCATATTTTTTATTAATAGTGCATAAGATATAGAGGCCAATTAGTTTGCATAATTTGGCTCTGTCAAAACTACCCATGGTGACATCAAAATTAGGGTCCGTCGACTTTTTAATCCACACATTTCCTGTAAAAAGTAAAGATTTCTTGGTAAATAATTTTGATTGATTTATCAGAAATTTTGGTGAACTATTTTGGTGAACTATTTTGCATGGTTTATAAAATCTTGAAGATGTTGTTTTGAAATTAAAGGATAAAACACGTCAGTATTGTACTGAGTGATAGTACATTTACTTTTATTAGGTTTCGATTTGAACTATTTTATGACATCATTTGTGTTGTACCATTGGTGTACATGGGTTTTATTCCTAACCTTTCTATTGATATCATCTAATAAAATTTTACTTACTTTTCTAAGCTCAGGTTTAGCTGGGTTTATTAATAGGTTCTGTGTATTGTTGGGGAATTTATCTTTATGTTCTTTTAATGTAATGAAAGCTGCATTCATGGCTAGATGTTCTAGAAGGATGTATGAGCTAGATATATCTTTGTATCATAAACTTTATACTAAAAATACTATTAAAACCTATAAAAATTCAGATATAATGCAATATAACAGCATTAACACAGATGCTAAAATCATAGCAAAAGACTTGGCTATAGATGATAGGCTAGAGCGTCTAGCCGTAAATGCAGCATTTTTTGCCTTAAAAGATCATAAGGATAGTTTCCCAACAATACACAGTGCTGATTAATAAATCTAGTTATTTATCTTCTGCACCTTGTCTAAAATAGAAAGGGCATCATTGGAAAATTCGCCCCAAATATGACAAAAGTATTCATTACAAGGGCAGATTTGAGATTTATAGAGATAAAGATTAGAATCCTGAATAAGAAAGTGTCATGCTTATTTTGCAATGGATTTATATATGGTTTCCAAGAAAGATCGGAAGTAAGAGTTAATCCTAGAAGATGAAGGGTAGATGATCATGTACATTACAGGGATTCATGTACATGAATCCCTTGTACACGAATCCCTTTAAATCATAAATACTCATCATGTACATTACAGGGATTATCTTTTTCCGGATTTTTCTGGAATTCCAGATATTTTTTTCAACTTTTAGTTTTTATATCCGAATGTATATTGGATATATATCAGATATCCAAAACATTTTCAATACATGCAAAATGAGGTATATATTTTTGTAATATATTTGTTTTTTAAGCTTTTCTACTTATTACTCATAGAAAAATTATGAAAAGTGTCTAGGAAAGAGGAGATCTAAATTATTGGGTTAACGATTGGCTGAAAAAAAGTTTCAAGATATAAAGAAGAATGATGTCCATTGAGGACAACTTTCATACTACAATTGGTTAAAAAGGACTCAATAATCTTAATGATGTTACCTGATACACTGTAAGAAGAAAGCTTAAGGAGAAGACCAGCATGCTAAACTTTATCAAAAGCTTTAGAAATGTCAAAAGTGATAGCCTTAACCTCTCCACCTCTATCTAATGCACGATAAAACCTATCGGTTATTATTGTTAGCCATTCAGCTGTAGAGCAAAAAGATCGAAATCCATATTGATGATCAGAAAGTAAATTATAAGATTTAAGATGAGAGACCAAGTGTTTGTTAATTAAAGACTCAAAAACCTTGCTTATGATAGAAAGAAGACTAATAGGATGGTAGTTAAATGAGTCAGATCGCTCTCCAAAATTTTTGAAAATAGGTATAACAGATGAGCAATAGATCAACCTGTTTGAAATCAGGTATAACAACTAGTGGAATCGAGAGACAATATTGATGAAAAGTTCTTAGCAAACAATTCAGCTTTGTCTTCATGTGAGGTGACAAAATCAGAACCATACAAGAGAGATTTAATAACAAATTTGCCCTTATTATTGATTCTGGTAAAGGTTCTCCAGAAGTCATTTGTGGAATATTTTTTATTATTTAAAAAAACAGATAGATAAATAACTTTTTTTCTATTATTATTATTTTTTTAAAAATTATTTTTAATTTATTTTGTTAAGTTTAAATTAAATTTATTATTAAATACAATTAAATTTAAATTTATTTTATTAAATTTAATTAAAATTCTTTTAAAAATTCTAAAACGCTATTTATTTAGTTTATACTTTATCTTTACTTTAGTTTTACAGCACTTTAGTTTACTATCATTACTTTAGCTTTATAATTTGTTTTACTGCTAAAATTTTATGTAAAGTAAAAAAAGTTACTTTAAAATGTTTGTATTACATATAACTTTATTTTACATTTTAGTTTTGAATTTTCCTTTTAACAAAAGTTTTTCTTTGACATCTTTAGACTGAACAATGATTAAAAATGATTTACTAGTTTATGAGTAGTATGTGAAGATTTTGTTTAAGTCAAATTGTTAAAAAAAAAATTGATATTTTTTATTTACTTTTTGACCGTTAAAGTGAAAAACTTTATAAATTTTAATGCCATTTTTTTTCTTCTTAAAGGTGAGTTCTGGCTCTACGATTTAAAAAATACTTTATATTTTGATTTTCCCTTTGTCATTAAATGATCAAGAATTTCATTAATTTTTTACAAAACGAACCAAACTTTTATAACCAAATAAAAATAACTTGATCAATAAACAAATGATTTAAAAGCCCAACTTATATATCAGGCCTTTAAGAACAAAAATTATAATGAGGGAGGGAGGGGGGGAGGAGGAGGGGGAAATACTGTCTGTTTCAGACCTTGTTATGAGATTATGCAAAAAAATTTCATAACAAGGCCTGAAACAGACATTTGTTTTCTAGAGAATTGTTTTGCTGAGGCTGTACCTGCAATCGTTAGGAGGAAATAAAAGATTTCATACCAGCCTGAATCCAAGAAGTTATGTAAGAAGTGTGTTTGTCAACAGGAAGACAAAAGATTTCTACCCAAGGGCCATCATGAAGAAAATCATAGAAAAAGTCCCAGTCAGCTTTAAGTCAAGGTAGTTGTAAGAGGTACAATGATAGAGGATTCTGATGATGAAGAAGAATAAGATAATAGTTTTAGAGAGATCAAAACATGATCAGAAGCACTTAAGGGAGAATATGGAGATACTGAGCACTGACTAAGATTAGAAACAAGAAATAAGTTGAGTAGAGAAGGTAAATGATTTGGGTTGTTTGGAAAACGAGTTGGAAAGTTTAACTATTTCAGTTAGAAATTGAGAAAGGCAAATGCTAAGATCAGAAGATGAGACAGCTGTTGATGGAGTCAGCCTCTCTGAGAGCTACCACAATGTTTGGGAAACCTGACTACCAGTTGGTCTCAGAACCTTAAAACTGAGTTTTAGAGCTGTACTCTCATTTGGAGATATTAGAATGAGTTGCCTTGTCATAAAAACAGAGACACAAGCAAAACCCATGCATTGAGTTAAGAAGATCCAGCATTCAACATCCTAAACTGGAAACAATGTGTTGTAAATACATATACACCAGCCTAATGATGAAGAAAAGGTGCGAGGTTGGTCAACATATAGAATCTGTTTACCCCTTAAGTCTTTGCCTAGGAGGTCTTCTACAAGACAGCAGCCAGATGTAATTAACATTTGCCCAAGATAAGTATTTTTATCGAGACATCATCTCTAACCTTTACTCAACCAAAAGCCCCAAGGCAGGGATTGTTTTAAGTTGGAGGTGGCTTCTTCTAGCCTTCGTCTAAAAAAGGGTATCCTACAAAGCAGCAGGATATAAAGCAGGTTGTACTGGGTTACATGTTACCAGTAGCAGGATAACCTGGCCTGACCTGATTATTTGTATTAGAAAAGAATATTGCAAACAAATGTCACAAAAGCCAATGTAATCAATGCAGATAAACTAAATACCTCTTTTTTTGATGTGATACTAAATCTTAACCACTTATTAAATGTCAAATAAACTGTAAAGATACAATATCAGTTTTTAACAATAATTTTTTGAAAAATAAAACTGCACTATAGATAAAACTGCATATAGATAAAATCTAGTAAACATATAGTCAGCCAGTGATGCATTTGCAACTGATATAATATCACCAATGATTTGTCAATGCCCACTAGAATCATTCAGTGACACTAGAAAAACATTTACTCATTGCAGCTCCTATGAAACCTGCAGTTGAAAACCATTTCCCTAACCTAAACAGCGTCCAATCTTTGCAACTGCAAATTAATCTTTAATTTGGTGTGGAGGTCAACCACATAAAAGGTCCCAATCCAATGCCTGAAAACCAATATGTAGTACTTATGAGTAAAAAAGGACACTAAGAAGCTTTTTGTGTAAGTAACAAATTAAATCAAAACACAGTATAAAACAAATATACCCAATTAAAACACCTATTTATTATATTAAATACTCCTTATTATAGAAAGTTTATGACTATACTATTTATGATATATACTCTATAAACATAAAAAAATTTATAAATATAAACTTATTTTATAAATATAAAAAAATTTATAAATAAAAACTATTATAAAAGAAACATGAGCAACCATTTATAATAAATAGTTGGGTTAAGAATTTATGAAAAATGTGGATTTTCTCAATGGAAGAAAGGTGCACCAAAACAGTTTTAGGTCATCAATTTTTGCTACCCTTATTTTTTCTAATTCCAACAGCTGCCCAGGTCTTAAATGTTTAAATCTATTTGTAGCTTTTTCTCAAAGGTTTCCAGACAAAGACATTATTTGCAACAGTGGATCATATAAAGATCCCAATCATGTGCTTCTTCTTCTGTAATGGATGTGTGGAGCATGGCTAAATGAGGCGTTGGAGTATAATAAGAAAAGATTTAGGTTATTAATATTTTATTTTTCTCTGATTTTATGAGTCTAAAGAAATAAAAAACGTTCAATGTGACAAAGTGATTAAACTAGAAGGTAGTAGACCAACTTAATGCAAACAGTTTGCATTATATTGTTCCAAATTTCTTGTTGAAAAACATAAGTCTTTAAAGAATAAAAATATTTTTTATTATATTTAACGTCAATTGTTTCAAGTTCGATTGTTTCAAGTTCAAGTTTTATACTTAAATAATTTTTTATTAAAATAAATATAAAGTCAATTTATGATTAAAGATGAAAAAGTATAATAAAATTTAAAAAAAAAAAAAAATTATTAATTATTGTATCTTAAATGTTTTATATTTTAATATATTTATTTAATTATATTTTAATATTAAATTATTTACAACAGTTCATTTAAATAGTTTATTTCTTTGTAATAACTTTAAGTTAAAATAAATGGTTTAGAATCTACAAATAATCCAAAGAATTGTGCCAGTCCCTTTTCAAAGCGAGGTAGTTCTTGCATAATATTTAATTAAATTTGTCATTTGTTATTTTTAGTAGCGTAGCGACAAAAAATTGGCCTCCCCGCAAAAATTTAATCCGGGCCCCTAAATTACTTCTTTTCTATTCCCTTCCCCCCCAACTTGCCTTTACCTTCCTTCTAGATAAATAAGTTATACATGAAAATAAAAAACTGTATTCTAAAACACAAACTAATGATATATTATCATTAATGACAGAAAGTTTTGTATGTATAGTATGTAGAAGTTCTAACGAAATTGTTTTTTTCGTGCCTTCATAGCTGCAAATTGGTTTATCACATCTTTTAAATCTAATTTAGCTGCTTCTTCTGCTTCAATGGCTAATAAACTTAACGCAGACAAACGGTTTTGTGCCATCGTTGTCCTTAAATGCGTTTTGATTCTTTTTAATTCTGAAAGATCTTTCTGCAGTTGCCACGCTAACTTGTAATCTCAAATATAGCGTAAGTGCTCTGATTATTTTAGTTAAAGAGCAACTCATATCACAATATGTTATTGTTATTAATTTGAGCAAATCCAAAATACTGTCCACATCTTTAAGCTCCATTTTGAAAGTTTTTTTAAACAAAACCATTTGATTTGGAAAGGCATCAGATATATCTATCAGATATTTATTTTGCAAATTTGTTGCATGTGTAAATATTTTGTCAGAATCTAATAATGTTATATTTTTGGAATTTAAAAATGAAAAACAGCTATTTACTGTTTTCAGGGAAGTAAAACGAGAATTTATCTGATTTGTAACAATATCTATAACTGTGTTAAATACATCAACTTTAAATTGATGTTCAGCCGTTTCAAAACAAAAATTTACACCACCGTCATCAAACAGTTTTTTTGTTTGTTTTATTTGTGATTGTTTAAAAGTTGGAACTATATTCCACTTTATAGCAAGAGCTTTTGCTTTTGCAAGAATATCATCAAAATTATTGGGCAGTGATTTTATTTCTTTTATTCCAGTTTCTAATAATGAACAAACTTTATCCAAATCCATATTTTTAGATTGTAATAATTTTGAAACGATATTTAATGGTGCTAATATTTCAATAATTAACACCAAAATGCAAAGAAAATCTAAACAATCCATTTTCTTTCTTAAACCGGTCGCTTGTGCTATTTCTGTTTTTTTATTGCTTTCCAAATAATTTTAGATAAAGCTTTCATTACGTCTACATATCTTTGTTTTATGGCTATACAAGATGATAAACGAGACGCCCAGCGTGTAGGATTTAATTTTTTTAACGTTACTTCTGATTCTCCTGTTATTTTTGATAATATGTCCCACCTATTTATGCTAATACCAAAAAATGTATATATTTCTTGTATACTAGAAAAGCAGTTGCTAATATCTGACACCCCATTCATAGCATCATTTATTACTAAATTTAAATTGTGGGCCACGCAATGAATAAATATTGCGTTTTTTTCAATTTCTTTTATTCTTGTTTGTACTCCAGAGTAAATTCCACTCATGTTGCTTGCCCCATCATAACCTTGTCCCCTACATTTTTTCAAATCAAGACCAAATGATTTTAGTATATTAATAATTTGATTTGATATAGCACTTGCCGATTGATTGTTAACTTTAAAAAACCCTATAAATTTTTCTTCAATTTTTATAAGGAGAGGAGATCCATTTATGTTATAACAAATTTTAACAAATCGAAAGGAAATACTAAGTTGGTCTGTTTTTGATAAATCTTGAGTAGTATTCGACAATCATTGAAAAAAAAGGAGCTAAATTGATATCATTGATAATTTTTCTTTCTAAATTTTACGACAAAAGACAAATAATTTCATTTTGAATTTGAGGCGATAAGTAATTAACATGGCCACGAGGCAAAGATATCACTTCTTTCAAAACAATATCATATTCCACTAATAGTTGAACATCTGATAAAAAATTACCATTATAAATATCTTCAAGTGAACCATTTTGCCCTCGAAAAGAAGTACAATTTTTAGCTAATTTTAATGTTATTTTAGTAAGTCTTTCTAAAACTTTTGCCCAAAATGTTTGTTCTTTTTGAATATTATCGAGTAACATAGTATCTATTGTTTTTTCCTCCTTCCATTGTTTCAAAATAAAACAAGTATTTATGTGAACCTCAGAAATTTCATGTTTCTTTATTTTTTTTGAAAGTCATTGCCAGTCATTTATACCTCGTATCCAACCACTATTTTTTTTCTCGCTTGAAAATAAGCAACAAGGTTGACAGTAAACTAAGTTTTTGTTTGGTGAGTAGCATAACCAAGTATTTTCAATAGATATTCCTGATTTTGTAACTTTTTTATAGTAATTTATTGAGAAAGAACGATTTCTATCATCTTTAGGAAAAGGTCCTTCAGGACGACAAGGACCGACAGATAAAATGAATTGTTTTTCTTCTACCGTTATAACATCTTTAAAATTTGCAAAATCAGAAGGGTATTGCTCACAAATAATTTCAGATAAATCACATATGTTTTTAACTTCTGCTTTTTTTAGCGGTACTTTAGCTATGTTTGACATACTTGATATTTCTATTTCAGAATACTTTTCGGTCGTATTGGCACTTCGTATCACTTTCGGTCGTATTGGCACTTTCATCTAGCATTCTATTAATATTTTCCAATTGTACTGTGTTTGAAGTTGAAGCAAAAAAAAGATGTGAGTCTTGGTATTTTTAGCAGCTGTTTTGCAAAACTTTCATTAGCTATTTCTTTATTTTTTCTCTTTCTGAAACCACTTGTTAAACTTTTTTCCTCTTCTTTTTTCTTGTTATTCATTTTCACAGTTGTCTTTTAATAAACAAAATAATTAAGTTTTTTTTTGTAAATAAATAAACATTAAAATAATAATAAAATCAAAACACCTAAATTACAAAACACAAATAAAAAACAGCAACTAAATTCAAATACAAGACAAACAGTTTACTATTTATCAAGTTATTAATTTAAAGCTATTTTAAAAACTATTTTAAAAACTTTCGTAGCGCCGATTAAAGCTGCTTGAGGTTGCATCACGTCATTTAACGGCTTGAATGATTAATTATTTCATGTTTTATATCTTATTTTATACTTTCTTACTGTTTTATTGCTGTTTTTTGTAATATTATTTTCTTCTTTTTTATGAAACATTTTTATTTATTTTTTTATTCTCTTATTTCGTTTTACTTTAATTTACGTAATTAAGTTTGGTTTTTTTGTTTTTGTTTAAAAAAAAAGGCGTTCACTTGGGAAACTATTGCAATTTTTAAAAAGCCAGTAAATTATTGTTTTTTTTAAAATCGCTTAATTATTTAAGTAGCTTAATTAACGTATTTTGTGTTAAATTGTAACGACTTCATAATTGCGACTTTGAAAATTGTATTTTATTTTATAAATAATAGTAGTTTATTTTTATATTCGTAGATATAATAAAATAAAAAGTTGCTCACTATTCAAAGAACTTGTCAAGATTATTAACTACATAATAATGTACTAAGTGTAATATATGTTTTGTATGTATGTTAAATGATACGCATGTTATTTATTGTACTGACACTTTTTTTTAAATTTTTTCTTTGTTGCCTTGGGCCCCTAATAACTCTGGGCCTCCCCGCGGCTGCAGGCCCTGCGGGCCCTTCGCTACGCTACTGGTTATTTTACAATTATGTTGTTTTAACTATGTATGACAATTATTAAATTACAATTATGATGCTAATTTTTATTATTAGAAAATTGTGCAGCACTAAAAAGATTTTATCTTGAAAGTTGTGAGAAAACTTCTAAACTTCGACCTTCATTAAAGCATTTCTCAAGTATTAATATATTGCATGAATTTGTTGATTTGAGTCTTGTTGATGCAGTGAGTACCCAAAGGAACAGCATTAATAACATTGAGAGGGAACAGTTTCTTAAAAAACAAATGAGCTACAAACCGATTCCATATCATGAATTATTTTCTAATGAAAAATCTTTACTATTTATATCTGGCAGTGCTGGAATAGGAAAAACATGGTTACTTAAAAAGTTTTTGCTTGATTGGTCAAATGGTTTTATATGGAAAAATATTGATTTGTTGTTTTATTTCGAATGCAGGAAATTTAATTATTACCAAAATATTTCTAGTATTAATGAATTGGTTCATATTTTCTATGAAGATGTTGTTAAAGATTTTGACATCAATAGTTATTCCATAATGTTTGTGATTGATGGTCTAGATGAGTTTAAATATTTAGATGAGCTAATAAATTGCAATTTTGATTGTACTTACCCCATTGTAAAAGTTTTATCAGAGATTCAAAAGTATAAATGTGTAGTGACTGGGAGACTGGAAACAACTGGAAAATTTTTTGCTATTGAACAATACCAAAATATGTTTTTACATCATGATGACAAGTTAGTCATTCAAATTATGGGTTTTAATGAAAACAGTATTAACAACTATATTGAAAAAAATTTAGTTGAAGATGCAAGAGATTATATAAAAAGAATTTTAAGGGAGTCTTCAGTTGCAAAGTCCATGGCGTCTGTTCCATTTTATTTATCTTCTATGTGTAAAATTATTGCTGACTTAAAACAAGATAATCAATTTATGTTCTTAACTATGACAGATTTGTACGCAAATATTTTTTTGTACTTTTTGCAAAAACATATTCACAAAAATGATGAACCATTTTATAAGATAATAGAAAAAGATCATAATAAGAAATATATTTTACAGATTTGTAATATTGCATATTATTTATTAATCCAAAACAATGTAATTTTTTCCAGAAAAGAAATTAGTTTTTTTATCAAGAAATTCGAAGAAATAGAACATGAACTTTTTGGTTTTGTTGAAAGGATTGAAACGCATCAAGGATATTTTTATCAATTTTCACACTTATCAATAATGGAATTTTGTGCTTCTTTATATGCGTATAATAATATTAATGGCGAAGTAATAGTACTCAATAAAAAGCTGAGATGTTGTTTACCAATGATTTATGGATTAACCAATAAAAAAGAAAATACTTTTTTGTATTTACTAGCCAATTTGTCTAATTCAAACTCGGAAAAGATATCTTTAGTTCATATCTTTTGTAAGTTTCAATTGTTTTGATATAATATAATTATTTATAAACAAACAAGATAGTAGAATACCACCTCATCACTATAAACCATACTCATCACTATAAACCATACCAAATAATACCATTATAAATTTTTTACCATCTACCTCATCACAATCTTAAATTTTGTTTTTATTTTTTTACTTAAAAGGAATTATGTTTTTTTATTATTATGAGTTGTTTCAAATAATTTAAACTTATCTTTATTGTATTATTTATGAAATAATACTAAAAATAATACTTCTTAATAAAGAAAAAAAGCCTCATTTACCACTTGGGTCCATTAGACACATGAACAATAAACCAAGTTTTTTTTTCAATGTTTAAAAATACTTTTCATATTTCACATTCACTTAATATCAACATAGATATTAAGTGAATGTGTTTTTTATTATTTTAACAAATAACAAAAAAAATTAACCATTTGTTAAGTTTGACATTTAAACATTATTTTTTTAAAAGTAAAAGTTTTCAAAATTTTTTAAAGTTAAAACTTAATATAAATTTTTCCTTGTTTTTTATTTGTGTATAAATTTATACACAAACAAATAACAAAAATAAAATTTATAACTTTTTTGTTGTTGTTTGTATATAAATTTATACACAAACAAACAACAACAAGAAAATTGGGCGCGGATATGGACGCCGCCCAAAATAAAATTTGAGGACTTTTTTTATTTTTTTTTATGTTTTATACGCCAAATATTGTTATTTTTGCAAAAAAACCGCCGACTTTCCTCTAAAGTTTGCCAGAACAAGGGGGTACCACCACCCAAATATTTTCCTAGAATAGGTCCTGTACATATATACACATAATTCATTTATTGATAGAAAAATAGGTTGATAAAAAATAGGTTAAAAATTACATAAAGATTGGTAAGGTTGGTACTTAGTTTTATACAATTACTTGTTGTAAACAAAATATTAAATGCTTAAGTATTAAAATAATAAAACATGTATATTATTAAAAAATAAAATTTATTTTACACTACACACCAAGAACATATGCTACACAATGCTCTCCACAAATGGATGGCTTAGCACTAAACCAGTCTTTACTACAAGTATATTAAAACAAGATTACTGAACAAAAAGTTTAAAAGTTTAAATGTAGTGGCTTTTGTCAAAAATATTGACAAAAGCCACTATATAAGCTCACCAAAGAAACTTAAAGTAATTGCTGTGTAGTGCACCCTAAAAATTAGTATATCCTTGTTTGCAAAGAAACATTACATATATCTTTTCTTGATATAAAATCATTTTTATCAATATTTTTGTATAGGCTGGTTTGGCTCTTAATCATCCAAATATGTTTCCATTTTTGAATCTTGTTCAAGTTTTTTTTATTTCTTTTTGATGGACATATAATACATCTTGATTTTTTTGGTACTTCTTTTAAGCTAATCTGAAGAGGTGTTATTTGTTTGCTTTTGCAGTCTGCTAAGTCTTTTCATAGTTTTCCAACAAAGTTACTTCTTTTTCTAAACATTTTGTTAGATAATGTATTTAGTGATTTTAATACTATGTAAGCATTTATAGCACTTATATCAACCTATAACAATGTATATATATATATATATATATATATATATATATATATATATATATATATATATATATATATATATATATATATATATATATATATATATATATATATATATATATATATATATATATATATAAGTAGAAAGTTGTAGTGCAGTTGTAGTGTAAGCAGAAAGTTTTAGTGTAGTTGTAGTGTAAGCAAAAAGTTGTAGTGTTGTATTGTAAATAGAAAAGCAAATTTCCATTTAAACAATACATTCTTAGATAAATACTGATTTAAATATTGGGTAATTTGAAACAGCATAACATTATGTTTTGAAAATGAAAACATATATAGGATAAAAGTGTGACAAAAGAAATTAGAAAAATATCCTAAGGTAAAAATGTTGTTAAAAGATTGACAAAAGAAATAGAAAATGCTAGTTTAAGAATGTATTGTTTAAATGGAAATTTGCTTTTCTATTTACAATACAACACTACAACTTTTTGCTTACACTACAACTACACTAAAACTTTCTGCTTACACTACAACTGCACTACAACTTTCTACTTACACTACAACACTACAACTTTCTACTTAGACTACAACAACACTACAACTTTCTACTTACACTACAACTGCACTACAACTTTTTACTTACACTACAACAACACTACAACTTTCTGCTTACACTACAATTGCACTACAACTTTCTACTTACACTACAACAACACTACAACTTTCTACTTACACTACAATATTACTACAACTTTCTGCTTACATTACAACAACACTACAACTTTCTACTTACACTACAACAACACTACAATTTTCTGCTTACACTACAACTGCACTACAACTTTCTACTTACACTACAACATCACTACAACTTTTTACTTACACTACAACAACACTACAACTTTCTACTTACACTACAATATAACTCCAACTTTCTGCTTACACTACAACAACACTACAGCTTTTTCCTTACACTTCAAAAACACTACAACTGTCTACTTACACTACAACATCACTACAACTTTTTACTTACACTACAACAACACTACAACTTTCTACTTACACTATAACCAGGCTTTCCCAGGAAAGGCGTGCGGTCGCACGCCTTGTTTGTCCACGCATAGAATAAATTTTTCTGACTAACTGACCACGTTTTATTATTATGCGTTTTAAGAATTCGCGCCAAAACAAAATACCGCAAAAATGCAAGCAATCTTAAAGTAAATAACAGAAATCTGTTTGTGCTTTAAAATTAAAAAATTAATGTATATTATTAAAAAAAAATTTACCTTTATTTTATTTATTTATTTTTTTCGGGTGGTAGTTATTTAAGCTATGAAAAATCAAATCAATAAGAAAAATCAAATCAAAAAGAAAAAGAATAATGTTTAAAGAAAATAAAAAGGACCTTTTAATGTAAAATTTGTTTATGACTTTCATCAGTCAGTAATACTTTAATATTCACGATAGAACTATAAACAATTTTTAAATGTTTCGTAAACATTTTTAAATGCTTAAATGTATTGATTTTAATGTTTGAATGTATTGATGCGCAAGAAAACACAAAAACAATTGCTATTTATTAGTAAAATATGTTGTTTTTTTTTTCAATGAAAGAAAATTTTATTGTCAAACGATTGAGTTGCTTATTTTGCAATCATTAATTGACATTGTGAACGAGTGTTAATATATAATAATGTTCCGAAGGAATTGTTTTCGTAACAATGACAACAGAAGCAATGCAACTATTTTTTTAACTTCTTTTGTAATTACAAAATTATGCAATTGAATAACTTCAACGTAATAAAAGGCGAGCATTGACTCAGTATAATCAGTTTAGAATAAATCGAGAAAGAACTTTTTTCACATTAAAATTTTGTTATCTTTAAAATCTTAAATAATATATTTAATAATTAAAACAGCAATTTATTTTCTTGTCTATGTATTGGGGAATAAAGTCATTGCCTTTGCATAAACCTTCGTAAAAACTAAATTAAATGAAAAAGTTTAACCAAATTTGTCTAGCGTAAATAATGAATAAGTTTTTTAATACATTGTCTGATAAAGTTTGTGAATAAATTATGTATCAAGTCTTTTTATTTTCGTGAAAACTTTATGACTTATCGTCGTCTTTTCCTTGACTTGTATCAAATTTCGTAGCTGAAAATAGCAACCCTAATAAAAGAAAACAACAGTATAAAAATTTTGAAAAAAGTGTTCAAGACTTTTTTTTTTTTGTTACAAGAATTTTTTTTTTTTTAATTTTTTTTTATTATCAAAATATTTTTCTTACATCCAATTTCAATTTTATAGTTTGTTTAGACTTCGTTTCATTTTTTTAATATTATTTTTTATTCTCTGTGGATAATTTCCGCTTTCTTACGAAATATTGCCGCGGTCACATTTTCTGAAAAATTTATTCTATGCATGGACAAACAAGGCGTGCGACCACACGCCTTTCCTGGGAAAGCCTGTATAACAACACTACAACTTTCTACTTACACTACAACAACACTACAACTCTCTGCTTACACTCTAACTGCACTATAACTTTCTTGAATAGAGTATACTATGTTATATACACTAGAATAGCAATAAATCTTTATACTTATCTTACAAATGACTTGCCTTCTGTTTTACTATTGCTTCGATGAATAATGGTTTGCTATCTGTTTTAATGAAATAAGAAAATTGTATATTAAAAAGTTAACATAAAGGTAGATAAAAATACTTACAAAAATACTAGCCATGTTATCCAAATATATTAGTTTTTAATAGCAAATAAAATTAATCATATCAAAATTCTATTGCAGCTTTCTAGAAACTAAAATGTTTAATAATATTTTTATGTATGATACATTTTATATTTTTATGTTATTTAATACAGCTCTCTGGAAACTAATAATACAGCTTTCTGGAAACAATGTTTTCTGAAATTTTGACAAAGATTTAACCATGAGTTTAGTTACCCACTGGATAATTCCATGTCAAATCATCCAGGCCATGTCACCCCATATTTGGGATTTTGCTGATTTTTTTGTATTTTATAGGGTTTATGAAAATTAAGAAAATCTGAAATTTGCTCCTCCAACCCCTTACGGTTCTTGAGATATTCAGGTTTCAATTTCCATATTTATGCTGACTCTGCATTTTTTGCATTTTTTGCAAAAAGCATTTTTCTCATTAAATAGCAATATTTTATGGACGAAATGAGGTATCATTCTGAAATTTGGTACATAGACAATCTTTCATATGGCAGATACAAATATCAAATTAAAAATTTTTTTAGACCAACTTAAGTACATGTAAATTAAATAATAATGGTATTTATTTTGGTGTATTTTGACAATCAAAATAGTGATGTCATCTTGATAATTTTTTTTTAGGCATTTCTAAAACTTACAATAAAGTAATCAAACATCAC